TGGAAACCATGGATCCCGCTCAGCAAATTAGTCTATGGAGCATATTTGATCCACATGCAGTACCAAATAAGAGCAGTCGCCAGAAGAGGTGGGGTTGATGTAGTCGGTTATTTTGACATGGTAAGTAATGTGAATCAACCCATGATCCACCCCTGTGACTCGAGTTCCCATACAGGGTGTAAACGTTATGATAGTCATTATTTAAAAGGGTGATAGAGTTTCATATAACATGGGGGTTAAAACGGCATTTTTTTAGAATAAAAAAAATCTGACAACGCCGCAATACCAGACGTAAACAAAGATGGAGTTTGTTATTTTTGGCTCTTAGGTATTGTTTCATTATTTGATAATGTACTTGTAAAATGCAAACATTTAAAAAAAATCAACTTATAAATAGGGAACACAATTTTGATATTTACATTGTTTTTCTTTTTAAAACCCACAATGTACTCTTTTGTATTTAAAAAAAAAACAGTTTCTTCCTACTCTAGATCCTCGAAGTTGTCCATTTATTATTTCAGTCGCATTAATTTTTTTTTCGCGAAGTTGTGCTTCAGTTTTTATTGGACCAGCCCCATAAACCATCCCTTTAAGTTCTCCCCAATACCAGAAATCTAACGGATTGAGATCAGGAGATCGTGCTGACCATTCTAGAGGATCAGGAGCATTTCAACCGATCCAGCGATTTGGATAATGTTCATTCAAATACTGAATCACGCCTCTAAAAATGTGTGGTGGTGCCCCGTCATGAAGAAACCACAATGTTGTCTAAGGTCTGGTCCAAAAGTTCTGGTAGGTTATTGGCTAGGAAGCTAAGATATCCTTCTCCTGACAACTGTGGGGGTAACACGAAAGGGCCAATTACCTGATCGTCAAGAATACCCGCCCAAATATTTATTTTAAAACGTTGTTGGAAATGACTTTCACAAATGGTATGAAGATTTTCTTGGGCCCACGTGTGAGTATTATGGAAATTTAATATCCCGTCTCGAGTAAAAGTACATTCGTCCGTCGCTAGATTCGAGAAGATTGTAAATAAACACGACGACGTACGCGAACAAAAACAAAACAACACGCCCAATGCTCTGCACGACAAAACGATAAAGTGATTTATCTATGCAAAACGATAACTAACCACTGTTACCGTTTGCGATCGATTGCCGGTTCGATAAGAGTGATGAAAGACCGACGCGTTGTTGTCATGTGTGTTTTAAATATTTAAACGAAACTTACTTACTTATGGACTACAAATTTTGGCTTAACTTAATGCCATTTATTTGTTAATTACCTAATTTAAAAACGTTTTAGATTAGATTATAAAAATTAGTAAGATTGTGGTGATTGTGGTCGATACAAAGCACTTAACGTTGTAGACTATAAAGCCATTTGGACAAAAATCTAATGACTACCATAACGTTTACACCCTGTATACGGTATGACATTCGTCAGAAGAATGAGGTATTTAACATACATAAATGAGAAGTTCCCCACCTAACTGAAGAGATCATACATTTCGCGTCAGTTATTGTATTGATAACCAACCGTATACGGGGCCGTTTCATTTTCGTTGAGGACCAGTAGCGCGGTCGATGAAAGCAGAACATAGCAACCTCTATCAGAGGTATAAACGTTTAGCAAACAAGTGCGACCTGTTGCTCGCTGATTATTCTAGTCGAAAATTATAGAGAAGTCCAAATATCACTGGCGAGGCAACGTGGTGCCTTTATCTCTTTCTAACATACCTATCCCACGCTTCTCTCTCGCACACTGCGACGTCAGTGGTATACGGATTTCTCTGTATAACTGTTATGCTCCGGCCTCGCCTCGTGAATAGAACAGGTGTAGTACCCCGGTGTCCTGCCAAACCGACGAGCTCACTATTTACTTCGACGAGGCCTTGAAATAATTAAAATCACGTTCGCTTGATCAATGTGATATTTTCCAGATCTGTTATGCGTTGTCGGACATAGCAGTTGCCTTCAGCACAGCTTTAGTACTATACTTAGCCATAGAAGCACCGTTCAGGAACATCATAGCACTCCTATTGGTGCCTCAGAAGGAACCGAAACCTGCTCAAAATAATAACAACCTACCTGCGCAAGAAAACAAGGAGACGAAGGAAGACGTTCCCAGCGAAGTCAGTTGCGAAACTACCTGTGATAGTCATTTGTAAGCTGCCATTATTTCGTAGATTTTAGCTTTAGGTTAAAAAATATATTGTTTTTAGTAGATGTTTCGAACCAAACCAAAAAAGTGTATGTACGTAACGATTCAGAGTTGTGTTATCCTCTTACATCACTATTACCAAATTTTTGTATTTTGTGTATGCAGTGAGAAATGGATGAACTGTGATGAAGTGATTATCTACTTTTGCCACATGGGTCACTAAGGGCCGTATAGTCAATGGTTCCTACAATTATTGTAGGACGCCTTTAAGGCCTCCTTGATTTTCATAATTTTCTACTGTTCCGTGTCAGTGCTCTATTTTGAGGTTATGTCACAAATAGCAATTTGCATCAAATTGTTTATGCTTTTGATTTATACCACCAGTTTTTTCGGCCTGAAATTAATATAATAACTTCACAACAGGAAAGCGCTGACGCTGAAATCTAGAAATATCACAGACTTCCTGAAGAAGGGAAAAGACTATGGCCACCTTGATTTTTATAGTATTTCGCTTCTTCAGTGATGGTGGGGTATTTCTAGACTTCTACTGTTCCATGTCAGCGTCAGACTATGTTTTCTTTTTAAATTGTAGGAGATTTTAGGCTAATATAACATGATATAAATCAAAAGCATGAACAATTTGATGCAAATAGATATTTGTGACATAACCTCAAAACAGACCGCTGACACAGTACAGTAGAAAACTATGAAAATTAAGGAGGCCATAAAGACGTCCTACAATTGTAGGAATGACTGTCGATACGGGCCTAAAGAATAAGTATCATCCATTTTTCACTGTGGTTATTATTCGCTGATTTTGTTCTTTCTTATTACATAAAAACATGTACTTATAAGAGTATTAAACTTACCTGATAACATAATTTTACATAAAGCTTACGGCGCTCGCTGCGATAATTCAAAGAATTATCGAGCGTGAAACATAATGTGATACGTAATTTTAAGAGTGGCTCTCTTGCTCACAATGTACAAGGAAAAATTAATCAATCAGTCAACTATTTATTCGCAATGTTGCAGATGTTGCGAAACTTGGTCATAATAGTGTGAGAGCCCGACCATGGGCAAGAGATAACTTTACGTTTTCTATTACTTTACTTTTCTACGAGATTTTCTTGTAGATACTTCTCTAGTTTTTTGCTTGCCCTGTATATTTTTTCAATCGATTCTCGTATATTTTATGATTCTTTGAAAATTGACATTCAAAAACATATTGGTCGTTTATATATAATAATAATAGAAAGTCCATTGATATGTAAAAATCCACTAATCCAAAGCACAATCGATGATCTCTAAGATTATCATTGTTAAATCATAACTGCGGGTTCAACAAGCGAAAACGCATTCACACACCAGACAAATTTTGTAATATCTGCAAAGTGAAAGTATTGATGGATTTTAAGTCGTGATGCAAGAGCAAAGCATGACATAATTAGGGTTTTTCTTATGTATAGAATACTCAACCATAATCAGTAAGTAACCATACGGACGCGCAATTTGTATTTTTGTATAGATTTTTATAATAAAATGGTGAATACAGAGTGATGTGTCCTTATTTCCCCATCCTTCAACATTCGCATACAGCAAAAATTGCGTCAAGTAGATTGACTCCCATAGTATCTGAATCAGCTTCCCTACGCTCTGGTATCTTCACTATTGGCCAGCTGGCCATATAGTACTCGTATAATGAATATTGTAACAAGGATAAATAGTACCGTTAGCGCCATCTTTTGGGGACCAGCTGCATCATGGTGGCGACATCTGTTGAGCAGCGTGCCAGAGATTCGCCTTCTACATCGACGCGAAGTGACTTCGACGATTCTGGAAGGCCGCTATGTTGCTCACCGGACTCTTCTCGAGCCAACGATGCGGACTATATAACTCGACGGCCGGGAGCGGGAGTCTTTCTTAGGAAGATTGGAAGAGTGCACGAGCTGCGACAATCTAACCTGGAAGTCAGAGAAGTACTCTAGATAACTGGAGAGGGTACCAACCGAAAGATCTTCTATCTGGTTACCAAGAAAGCTTCGTCGTGTCGATATCGACATCCACCGCCAATAAGATCATTCCGGGACGGAATGACTTTAGGGAGGGGGCAGTGTAACAAGAATAAATAGTTTCGTTGGCGCCATCTGTTGGGGACCAGCTGCCTCATGGCTGATCTCTGTTGGGGACCGTGCCAATCTCCTTCTGTGGCGACATCTGTTGAGCACCGTGCCTTCTAGATCGACGCGAAGTGACCTCAACGATTCTGGAAGGCCGCTATGTGGCTCACCGGCCTCTTCTCGAGCCAACGATGCGGACTATATAACTCGATGGCCGGGAGATGGAAGCAGAGTCGAGCAGAGAAGAGCGGAGTATAGTTCAGTCAATGGCGCGACATAAGAATTAGTCAGACATAAATGTTGGTCACATGTTGCACACTTGATTATGGCTCAAAAGTAATTTAAGAAAACCCAACCTCCAGTAGCGTCTCTTAAGAGCCCTTAGAACATTTTTTTCCTAGACACTTGTGTCATTATTTTTTTAATTCTATATGAATCTGATAGTCATCTCTATTTCTGGGACACCCTGTATAATATTCCCCTATTTATCTTACTGGATCTAGGTAGAACAAATAAAAAACAAAAATATTCTGATCTAATTTATTGTATTAATTCATCTACATCGTTGAAAAGTTATCTTTGAACACAAAAATGAAAATTGATATATATATATATATATATATATATTAACAGCTATAAATAGAATATATTAATGTAACATACAAATACATTGATCACCTATATTATAATACGCTTTTATCACTCTCATAAAAAAAACAACCAAATTTGAGAAAAAAACCTAGAAACGTATAAAAAACGACTATAAAAATATATAAAATTTCGGAAAGACTCAACAAGTGTCAATGTTGTCTAGCTTACTTAAGGCTTCTGTTAATCACATTGATAGTCGACAAAAAAAATAGAAGGTGGAGGTTAAACGTCTGTTTGGTTATACCACAGTTACTAGCAAACAGATATGATAATGGATACATCTTCAATCTATCGAGTAAGTCAAAAGTGTCAACAAAATTGGAAAAATTGTTAATTTTTTTTAGTCATCTAGTCGTTAGTAAAGTTCTTACAGTGCGTAAGTCAAAAAAGATCCATTTTACAGGAGAATAATACAAACTGTACAAAATTTTCGTTAACAACCCTTGACGTAAAATCATGTTTAAAATCTGGCAACACTGTGTTTGCTTGTCCAGCAGCGTCTGTCAAAAGTCCTAATTCTAACTCAAAAATCCAAAATTATCAAAATTTCCAAAATTTTAAAAATTGCAATTTCCAAAACTGACAAAATTTCCAGAATTTCCAAAAATTTCAAGATTGTCACAATTTTCGAGATTTTACAATTTTCTAAATGGGCAAAATTCTCAAAATATGCAGTTCCAAAGTGATCAAGACATCTCTTGAGAATTTCAGAATTCCAGAATTCTCACATTTTTCCCAATTTTCAAAATCCAGGAAACTTTCAGGATTATCTGAATTTTCAAAACAAAAATTTTCGAAATTTAAAAAACTACCGAATATTCAAAATAATCAGAATTTTCAAGATTAGTAAGATTTTATAAATTTTAAAATACTTAAAAATTTCACAATATCGAAAATTTTCAAAATCAATAACAATTTTGAACATTTTCAAAATTTTTAGGATTTTCGAAATTTCAAATTTTCAAAATATGTTTCACAATTTCCAGAATTTTCAAAATTCAAATTTTCAAAAATAAGATTGCCAAATTTTTCAAAATTGACAACTTACAAATATTAAACATTTACAAAATTTCAGTATTTTCTAAATTGAGATTTTAAAAATTTTCAACATTTCAAATTCTCAAAATTTTCAGAATAATCAAATTTATCACTATTAAAATAAAAAAAAAAATCCAAATTTTCCAAATTAAATAAAATTTTTGGAACTTTTTATATTTTCGCAATTTTCCAAAGCAACAAAATTGGAAAAATTGTTAATTTTTTGAGTTATCTGAACCAGTCGTTAGTGAAGTTCTTACAGTGCGTAAGTCAAAAAAGATCCATTTTACAGGAGAATAATACAAACTGTACAAAACTTTCGTTAACAACCCTTGACGTAAAATCATGTTTAAAATCTGGCAACACTGTGTTTGCTTGTCCACCAGCGTCTGTCAAAAGTCATCTAACTCTAACGACGAATGCATAGTTATTAGAGATTTTAGTGCTGTTATTTTGATACTTCGTTATAATATTTATTATTTCTTATTACGAGAAGGTCGTATTTGCCATGTCACTTGACTTGGGTTGTGAAATGTCAACGTGAGGCATCCGTACTTACCTCTAGTTATCAATTATAAATTCGACCCGTCATGCGGAATATGCTGTGTAAAATTGGTAGACCCCTGCATTTCTTGATTAAACCAGTAAAATAAGGAAGCTTTGTCATTAGAGAGTCTTTAGAGCAACAGAAATAACCAACCGTTAACATTTCCGTTATGTTTGACAGTGATGCCAAATAGAGATGGTTGGAACGACAAGAGCTCTCATGACCAGTAAAGTGAACCGTCGTTATTTAACAGAACTGATTACTGACAATCATGACAGGTTGCTTATTTTTTTTATTTTGACGTGAAGCTAACCGCAAAGTTTTAAAACCTTAACAAACTTTTTCATGGAAAAGCTTCGGTGATATTTTTATGATAACTATGATAACTTAAAATCAACAAAGCCAACAGAACTAGAATAAAACTATTATTATATAAAGCTACCTTGTCTCATTCAATATAATATCAAAAATCAGGAAACTTCAATTAATTTTGAACACTATACGTATTTGTTGTATTTATCTCTCTGATCTAGAACTCATATTTTAGGTTAAGATATCCCGGAAACTATAGCCAATTGAGATATTTGGACCACTGATTCGGATTCAGCGACCCCGAAACTAGACTCATAGAGTACCAGTGGTGCTTTGACAGGATTGCCACGTTGGGAGATTTTTCCCCGAATTTTTAACCAAACATTTCCATGAATTAGCTTTGATTTGTGGGTCTATTTTTTGAAAAAAGTAACAATTCTGAAGGATTTTTATGCTGGTTGGAAATTGTTAATGTTAAAAAGCCGTCCTTTGTGCCGTGATGAATCGTTTAACGAGTTTAACAGTAGATCCGCCTTGTGACACTTTTAACTGCTCAACATACAGCACCATCTTCCAAACAAAACAATTATTACTGAGTCAGAGTTTTATTCTTAACGTAACTATCTTTTACATCTTTCCACGTCACTCGTTGTGCTGCATCATCAACGAGTGGTTCTTGAAGATATTTGACAGCTCGTCTATCAACGTCTCGTACCTGAACGCTACTCTGATATCAGGAACGTTGGTCCTTGCTATATCGTTACCAGCTACGCCTTCTTTGGTATAGTTGGGTCCCAACCAATACTGCTTGGTCTTGTGCGGGAATCCTGACATTAGGACGCTGTTCCTTGCTAGTTCACACATATCACAACTAGACAGTTTCCATACTTGAGCTGCAATTGAATACTCCTCCATAAGCGGTTCTTTGGTGAAGTGGAACTGTAGGGGGTCATCTGTTGAGAGAGATACTACCAGTCCTCTGGCTAGGTACTCTGGAAGCGGGTTTCTATGGTAGTTCAAGAACAAGCTGTTGTTTGACAGGGGACTCATGGCGATACCTATTTGAGCCAAATAGTAAAGGTACTGCAATACAGGCACTTTCCTCAACAACAACCCGTGAGAGATGTTCTCAGACAGCATATATCCACACACCAAGTGCTGTACAGGACCAGCTTCACCGCAATGTGGTCTCAATACGAAAGGATTCAACCCTTTCTCGTTCCTAAAGTGATTCAAAACAGCAAGGTTGGCGTAAATGTAATACTGATAATACGCATAGTTGGGGTTCTCAGTATCGTTCCATTGTTCTGGAGTAGGTGTGTCTTTGTCAAATAAGGGGTTTCTCTCAGGTTTGCTTTCGTCGTCGACAGAGTCGAAACCTATCACGTATTGGAGGAACTTGTAGAGGTCGGGGTGTGTTGAAGGTTTGGCTGTGACTTCAAACAGTGGAAGGAATATGTTGTCTATCACTTCCTGGAAGTTGTCGAGGACTTTGTTTAACTTGAAGATATCGCTGGAAGAAAAGAGGAGGTTCAGATGATGGACAAAGCATCTGTTGAGATAAATACGAGTACTACTTTCAATGACTTCATAAATAAAAAAATTGATGTCTTTTTGTTATTGCCGATCCTTGTGGGCTGAGTGCAGGCTGAGGGTCAATCAATCCCACCCCTGAGTTACCCTCAAGAGAAAATTTAACATTTGTACTTTACAGATACGTTCAACAGATTTTCAAAAGTTAAGGAATTCTAAAATTTTTACTAATTTTCAAAATCACAACTTTCAGGATCATCAGAATTTTCAAAACAAAAATTTTGAATATTTTCAAAATTTCCAAAATTACCAAGATTTTCAACATTTTAAATTTTAAAGAAATCTTCAAGTTTTACAAAATTTACAAATTCCAAAATTTCCAAAATTTTGTAAATTGAAATTTCCAGAAATAACAAAATTAACAGAATTTCCAAAAATCTCAAGATTGTCAAAATTTTCGAGATTTTAAAATTTTCAAAATTGCCAAAATTCCCAGAATTTGTAGTTTCCAAAATGGTCAAGACATCTATTGAGATTTTCAGAATTCTCACATTTATCCTAATTTTCAAAATTCACAAAACTCTTAGAATTATCTGAATTTTCAAAACCAAAATTTTGAAAATTCTTCTGAACCAAGATTGTCGTAATTTCAAAAACGTATAAATATATTCAAAACTTTTACTAAATCAAAACTTTCAGGATCATCATTCATCCAAAATTTAAAAAAATTGTAAATTGATATTTCCTAAAATAACAAAATTAACAGAATTTCCAAAAATTTCAAGATTGTCAAAATTTTCGAGATTTTAAAAATTTCAAAATTGCCAAAATTCCCAGAATTTGCAGTTTCCAATATGTTCAAGACATCCATTGAGAATTTCAGACTTCTCACATTTATCCTAATTTTCAAAATCCACAAAACTCTTAGAATTATCTGAATTTTCAAAACCAAAATTTTGAAAATTCTTCTGAACCAAAATTGTCGAAATTTCAAAAACGTATAAATATATTCAAAATTCTCAGAATTTTAAGATTGGTACGATTTTAAAAATTTCCAAGATTTTAAAATTTAAAATTTTCACAATTTTCAAAATTATCTTGTTTGAATATCCAGAATTTTTTAAATAGAAATTTTCAAAAATAAAATTACCAAAATTTACAATCTCCAAAATATTAGAAATCTATGAAATCAAAATATTCAATATTTAAGTATTTTCAAAACTTTCGAAATCATGATTTTAAAAATTTCAAATTCTCAAAATTTTCAGAATTTTAATTATTCTATTATTATTCAAAATTAAAATTTCAAAAATAACAAAATTGCCAAAATTTTCAATACTAAAATTTTTGGAACTTTCAAAATTTAAATATTTTCACAATTTTAAAATTCTCAAAATTCAAGACATCGATATAGAATTTCAGAATTCTGACATTTTTCCAATTTTCAAAATCTGCAAACCTTTCAGGATTATCTGAATATTCAAAACCAATAGTTTGGAAATTTCCAAGGTTCTTCTAAACCAAAATTTTCTAAAGTTAAAAACTACCGAATATTCAAAATTCTTCGCATTTTTAAGGTTGGTAAGATTTTAAAAATTTTTAAAATTCTTAAATACCTCACAATATCCAAAATTTTCAAAATCAATAGCAATTTTGGATATTTTCAAAATTTTCAGGTTTTTCAGAATTTTCGAAATTTCAAATTTTCCAAATTTTAAAGGAATTCTTTCACAATATTCAGAATTTTTAAAATTGAAATTTTCAAAAATATGTTTGCAAAATTTTCAAAAGTGACAACTTCCAAATACTAAACATTTTCAAAATTATAAAATTTCAAAAATCAATAAAATTTTCAAAATTTGAACATTTTAAAATTTCACAATTTCTCAAAATTTTCAATATCTCCAAAATTTCAAATTCTCAAAATTTAAGAAAAATCAAAATTTTCAAAAACGAAAATGCCATAATTTTCAAAATTGCCTTCTTCCAAATTATCAGTATTCAAAAATTTTCGAATTTTAAAATTTTCAAAATTGCAATTGTTTCAAGATTTCCAGCATTTCCAAAATTACGGATTCGCAAAATTTTCAGAATATTCAATATCCAAAATTGCAAAATTTTTCAAAATCTTCAAATTTTCAAAAGTTGTAAAAATTTTCAAAATATGCAGTTTTCAAAATTTTGAAGACACCTACTGAGAATTTTCATGATTTTTTAAATTTCCAGAATTTTCAAAACTTTCAAAATTCTCAGTTTTCAAGAGGAGAATTTCGTTCATCTGAAACAACCAGAGACGAAAATGGATTTTGTATACTGAGAATCTTCAAAAGTTTGAAAGGATTGATGGAATCTCCAAGAAATGGTCAAAACATGTCTCTTGGTTAAGTGAAAAATGAATAAAATTGGTTACTTACAATAATCTTGGAATCTGAACCAACCAACGGACGTTATCAGAATATACATTGGACTGGAGAGCCCATTTTGCTAGTTTATCCCATTCGTCCCTGCTTTTGCCATAAATGCTCAACCTAGAACAAGAAAAAATACCAAGAATTTCAAAATTTTTAATTTGCCTTCTGTATCCAACGAATTCAAATAGCCTGAGACTGAAAAACTTCATATTAGACCCTATAACTTTCATATACAACTTTTTATTCTGCAAGGTCATATATAAAAGTTTACCATTATTAAAAGAGGAACTTTTAAAATTACATACGAGATGAGACTTACCTAAGCTCTGCGTTCTGGTACTTGGACTCCTCCAAATCACTAGCAACTTCCTTGATAATATTAGCAAAGTACTTTCCATTGCAATAGTTGTCCGTTTTCAGAAACACCTCTCTCAGTCTGCTCTCGCCAATCGGATTGTACTTTGCGTTGAACTTATCAAAACGATGGAACGTATTTCTATCTGCGTGAACGTCCAACATGTCCACCGTCAAATCGTACGTTGTCAGATTCATTGACTAAAAAAGAATCGTTTAGATCGCTCGCCGAGAACATCCTGCGTGTCTATGTGAAATGATTTTTTGCGGTATTCAGTTAGTATGATTCGATAGTTTGTTTTTCATAAGTTTAGGCCATAAGCTCAACGATATCGTTAATAGAAATAATGAAAGGAGTGGTCCCAGAACGCATCCTTGGGAGACCACCCAATTATTACATGGATTTTTTTGCATAATTATGTGGATCTCAAGTAGGTGGATCGTAAAACTCACACGAGTTGTAACATGGTTTACATATTAAAAGTGTTTAATATGTTAACCGTATAAATTATTGTGCTTTTCACAAGTGCTGTTTCAAGTACTACTAATTTAAGATCTTCATTTCGTCTAATATCGAAGCTTATATTTAAAAATTGTTTTTGCTCTGGACAAAGTTTTTTTGGGTCTTTCCTGGACTATAAAACAGATCGTTGAGATTAATGGCCGAAACCTATGACAAAAAAGCTGAAACTACTTACTATGCTGTCTTTTGGTCTTTCATCTAAGTCATCAAATCCTACAAAATTATCCATCTTCAAATACATATATAAATTTCAGCAACATTATCTACTTCTAAATGTCTTTGTACCTTTAATCCGATATCTACTTATTTGCAAAATAATTAAGTGAAACATTTTTTTCTCAAATAATTCCTAATCATTTGCCAGACTTTCAGATAAAAAAAATATTTTAAACGAACATTGGAACATACTTCAGCTTTTTATTTTAATTTTGATGGAACAAAAATTATACCTATATCTAAAAATGTAACTTTGAAACGTAAAATGAAGAGTAGATTTCGCAATCGGCACAAATAAACTACAAAAAAATACAATCGTTGAGATCCACACTAATAATTTTATTGCAAAAAAGCTTCACCGATTGTTTAGCCATATCCATGAAAATGTTATGAGTGAAAGAAAAAAAACATGAAGCAAGAAAATACGGTCATGCAATTGAAAAGAATGTAGAAAGCATAAGAACAAGCAGGTACTCATAAATTATTGATTCCACACATCTCACTTAAACAAATATGAGTTGCATTATTTTGCAGGTAGACAGCATAGTTTCATAGCAAATCAAAAACCTATCAAGAAACGATTCTTATCCTTTCTTAAAGTACTGTGTGATATTAAAAATGACTTGAATTTGATGAGTAAGCATGAAGCAAGTTTTAGGGGCATTGTAATTTGATGGTGTTTTCATCACATCTTATTTCATAAAAAATTATTATAAAAGTATCCGGAAACTCAAATTCGATGAAATATGGAAAGAATAATACAATACACAAAGTGAAAGAAAAAAATTGTAGCAATCAATATTATCCTGATTGAAATATATATTTTTATTTTGACATAGTGAATCATACTACCTTTAACGCAATTCTTTTCAAAATTTACGAAACTCGACAAAACGTCGTATTAGTGACGAAAAAACCATGCATAAAATCACAACGCAAGCGAGAAGCATCAAAAATCACATGAAAACTTTACTTGGAACACTTCTTTCAAGGTCATAGGAACTCCGTTCGTGACTGTCACCACCTCATCGGCGTTGTTTTTCAAGGTTTTCTTGATAAATCGCAGCAGGTGTTTTTGATTCATGCAGGACGCGGCGGTGGATATGAGTGTCCACTTTGCGGATGTTATAGAAATCTCTGTGAGGACAGCCTTCTGGGACGCTAGCTCTCGCAATTCGTTCAGCACATGAAGTTGGAATTTCGATGATAGGTAACTCAGACGGCGGTAACAAAATGATTTTCTGAAAGAGAAAATGTCTAGATAATGTTTAATCCTGAAATCTTCGAAATATCGATATTCGCAAGTCCTCGAAATTTTGATGCTAAACATTTTTTGAATTCGGCAAATCTCGAAATTCTCATAATTCTCCATGTACTTACTACCATACTACAATATTTTCAGATTTCCTGAAATTTTTCAAGATCTTGAAATTTTCCAGGTTCTCGAATTCCTCGCAGTGCTCGGAATTCTAAAGATTTTCAAAAATATCGATATTCATTAAATTCTCCAAAATTAAAAATTCTTAAAATCATCAAAAATCCAAAAGTTTTGAAATTCTCGAATTACGTAAAGTTGGAATTCCGAGCAGAATAGCTGAGACGACGATGTCCTAATACTCGTAATTTAAAAGTTTCGAACATCTAGTAGTCCTCAGAAATCTCAACGTCCTCAGTCCTCGAAATTTCTGATCAAACGTATCTTGAAATTCCGCAAAATCTCGAATTCTCGAAATTTTTCATGTACTTGAAATCTTTATATTTTCCAAAATCCCAACATTTTCAGAGTTCCTGAAATTCTCAAAGATCTCGAAGTTTCCCAACTTCACGAATTCTTCGAAGTGCTAGGAATTCGAAAATTTCAATATTATATTAAGTTCCCCGAAATATAAAAATTCTCAAATTTATCGAAGATCCCGAAGTTTTGAAAATCTCGAAATACCTGGAATTAC